TGCGCTCCCCTCCTAACCCGTGCCTTCGTGCACACCCTATGTCGAGGGCCGGCTCCGCTGTGCCCCTCACTCCTCCTCGTTCCCCCCTACCTCTGCACCATTGCAGACCCTGCACATGGACATCTGGGGCCCCTCCCCCGTCCATGGGCCGCACCGCGAGCGCTACTTCCTAGCGCTTGTCGACGACTACACCCGCGATACCACCGTCTTTCCCCTGGAGCGGAAGGCCGACGTGCCTAACGTTCTTATCCCCTGGCTTGTCTCTGCGCGTGTTCACCGAGGTCTCCCTGTCTTGGGTCTTCACTCCGACCGTGGTGGCAAGTTTGCCTCTGGTTGCCTTGGTCGCTTCTGTCGTGCGAAGGGCATCACCCAAACGTTCACCCTCCCGAACTCCCCGCAGCAGAATGCGGTCGCTGAGCGACGTATCGGTTTGGTCATGGAGGTTGCTCGTACCTCCATGATCCATGTCGGTGCATCCCATTTTCTGTGGCCGTTCGCCGTTCGCTACGCCGCTCACCAGCTTAACCTCTGGCCGCACCCTCAGCGATCGCAGGTTTCGCCGACCCTCCTCTGGACGGGGTCCCTTGGTGACGCGTCTGCGTTCCACGTCTGGGGCTGCCTTGCTCACGTTCGTGCCTCTGGCACAGACAAGCTCACTGCCCGCACTGTCCCCTGTGTCTTCCTAGGTTTCCCCCTTGACTCGTCGGACGGGCAGTTCTACCACCCGCCTTCGCACCGGTTCTTTCACTCTAGTAACGTCACTTTTGACGAGGCTGTCTCCTTCTACCACCGCTTTCCCCACCGTGGTCCCCAGGTCACTCCCCCCCAGTTCCTGGTGCCCCCCCCTCCCCCGGTCGACCCTGTCCACCCCCCTCCTCGCCTTGCCCCGTCTGGTGTGTCTCATGTCATCCCCCTCCCGTCGGTTGTCCCTGCTGAGGAGTCCGCTGACTCTCGCGGCTTGGCGGAGTCTCTTCCCCTACCTGTCCCTGCCCCGGTCTCTCCTCCCTTGTTGTCGCCGCTGTTGTCCCCGCCGCAACCGCCTCCGCCACTGCCGCCGAAGGTGCAGCCGCCGTCGTCACCGCCGCTGGGGTTCGTGCGTTCTGGGGGTGCTGGGGAGCGGGCTGGAGCTGGTTCTGGAGCGGACTCTGGGGGTGCTGGAGTGGGGCTTCTCGGAGGGAGCCGTGTTGTCGGGTAAAGGTTTTGGTATTGGAGTCGGACAGCAGTCGCAGCTGTCGCCGCCGGTGTCCGCTCTTCGCCTCCTCGGTCTCCCTTCCCCTAACCGCCCATCGCTGCCTCCCCCGCTGCCGCCACCTCCTCCTCTGCCAGTCCACGGCCCCATGTTTTCTCCCCCAGACTCCTCTCCGGCTCATTTCCCTCCCCGTTCTCCTCCAGTGTCTCCTCCCCTCTCTCCTGACCCGACTCCTCCGTCTCACGTCTGGTCTCGTCGTCCGTCTCGTGCTCGTCCTACCTCCCCTTTTTTGCGTTCTCACCCTATGTTGCATCGCTGACGCGTCTCGTGCTCCCCCTCTCCTCCCGTCTCCTCCTCCGTCGTGGCTTGCTGTGGCCCCGCCTCCGTTCTCATACTTCCTCCGTGCTGCACGTCCCCTTGTTCCTCGTGTCCTTGCCTCTCTCGTTACCACACAGTCCGTTCCTGTCTCGAGTCTGTCGGCTCTTGTCGCTGCTGTCACTGACTTCGTTGCTACCCGCCGCTTGGACTACGCCACCGCTGTGGTCTCTGACCCTGCCTGCCCTCCGGTCCTCGGGGGTGTGGCTGCTCGTGGCAGTACCGTCCTAGAGGACAGGCAGTTCAAGCTCGCTTTCCTGTTTGAGGCCGCTCCCTATCTCTGTTCCATGCTACTAGTCCCTGAAAGTGACCCAGACGCCCTCGACATCCTGGCGCATCGCACCTACGCTGAGGCCACCTCGAGACCCTGGGCCTCTTAGTGGATAGCTACCATGGAGCAGGAGATGGCATCTTGGAGATCCACCGGTACATTCGTCGATGCAGTTCCCCCACCTGGGGTGAACGTAGTCGATGGCCGGTGGCTCTTCAAGTTGAAGCGCCCTCCTGGAGAGCCGCATGTCTTCAAGGCACGCAACGTCGCTCGAGGCTTCAATCAGCGTGAGGGGGTGGACTTCTTTCAGACCTTCGCCTCGACCCCGAAGATGACCACTTTTCGGGCGCTGCTACACGTAGCCGCTCAGCGTGACTACGACCTGCACTCCCTCGACTTCTCCACAGCGTTCCTCCAGGGCAGTCTACACGAGCAGGTCTACCTGCGCTTCCCCCAGGGCTTCTCCGGTACCTTCCCTCGTGGCACCGAGTGGCTCCTCCGTCGCCCAGTCTACGGCTTGCGACAGGCGCCCCGTGAGTGGCACGACACGTTGCGTGCTACACTTGCTGACTTGCAGTTCTTCCCTTCGTCCGCGGACCCCTCGCTCTTCGTCCGTTCCGGCCAAACTCTGTTCTACATCCTTGTTTACGTAGACGATCTGGTCTTTGCTACTGCAGAAAGAGACGCACTAGCCGCCGTGAAGGCCGAGCTGCTGAGGAAACACACCTACACTGACCTAGGGGAGCTGCGCCGCTATCTTGACTAGCAGATCCCCAGGGAAAGAGCAATGCGCACCATCACTCTCTCACAATCACACTTGGTGCGCCAGGTCCTTCAGAGTTTCGGCCTTCAGTTCTCTTCTGCACAGCCCATCCCTCTGCTAGTAGACTACAGACACTCTGCCCCAGTCCCTGAGGAGGCTGTACAGCCTAGTGGTCCCTACGCAGGGTTGGTGGGTTGCCTCATGTACCTGATGACTTGCACTCGTCCAGATCTCGCATACCCTCTTAGCATCATGGCTCGCTTTGTGACCCCAGGCAGACACCGACCACAGCACTGGTCGGCAGCTAAGAGGGTTTTGCGTTATCTAACAAGTACATCGGGCATGGGGCTAGTGCTAGGAAAACGGACACCAGTGGTCCTTACTGGGCACACTGACGCTTCTTAGGCAGACGACGCCGAGACTCTCAGGTCCTCCCAGAGCTACTCATTTAGCCTTGGTGCGGGTGCCATCTCGTGAAGGTCCACCCGCTTCTTGTCTGTTGCCCAGTCTAGCTGTGAGGCCGAGATCTACGCAGGTGCCATGGCAGCACAGGAGCACCGCTAGCTGACCTTCTTGCTCACCGACTTGGGTGAGCGGCCTAGCTCTGCCCCGGTTCTGTACGCTGACAACAGGGCCATAATCCTTCTGTGTCAGGAGCCACGACTTGAGGGTAGAGCGAAGCACATCCAGCTGCGGTACTTCCTCCTGCGCGAGCTGCAGCAGCGTCGCCGGGCTCGTGTAGTACACTTGGCTTCCGGTGCCAACACAACTGATATCTTTACCAAGGCGCTTGTGCCTAAAGATCATCAGCGGCACTGTGTACAGCTAGGTCTCGTTCATGTAGCCTCTCACTTGCTAGGACCTTGATTGTGTATAGACCTTTATATATATTACCCAGACTGGCCTTGTGACCTCTTCCCAGTGGCTGGACTAGTAGTGCCACCCTGGTCTTGCCCTTGCCTTGTATGTACTTGTTTGACTGGTCTTTCGACCCCTGCTTCAGAGGCTGGACTAGTAGTTCCAACCTGAGTTGTTTTTCTCTCATCAAGCACTGCCCCTGTCCAGTATAATGGGTGTGTCAAACATACAAATTTATATTGTATGTTACAGTAGACTATATAGGGTTATGCTTTAGAGAGTACAAACAATTAGGCTATATTACCCCCGTATGTCTTGTTCTAGTTTACTTTTCTTATTCCAACACGTAATTCACTCGAACTGTACCTAGAGGTTCGGAGAAATTTCGCGCCGGCCACAATGATGACGAAATTGGGCTGGCGCGAGCGGGAAAACATTTCGATTCGGGCAAAAGTTACTTCCACTGACCATTCGTGGAACTTTTCCCCTGCAGTTACTGGCTAACGGTGGAACCCGACTGATGAAACATGTTGCAAACTCACTTGTTCTGATTGTTTATATCGTATCACTGACCGTACATGTTAGCGAGGCCCCTAATACTGAGCGCCTATATACACTCCCTATCTAGTGTCATGATTTGTTCACATAACCAATACTTCGACTTTCCCAACTGCTTGTCACAGCATACTGGAGGTTGGCATGGTTGCGATGACGTAACAGATGGTCGCCCGTTCAATCTCACCGTTTCGTTCGCCAGGTTGCCTTCCAGGTGATTCGAGAGTTTTTGCAGGTTGTTGGTCAGGTGCGCTGGTCTCTAGCGCTTCGAATACAGCACCGAAATGCCGAGCCATTCCCCGAGTCCCACTTACCTTCAGCCTGCTCCGACGTCAAATTGGGCCTTTGTGTTGTGAATTCCGTTGTCCTTGTTGGGGACGGAAGATGAAGGATAGTCAGCGCGGTGCACTGTACATGTCTCGTCACGGGCAGCGATTTTGACGGAAAACAAATGTCGGCCTAGGAACTCAGGGAGTCCCTTCGGGACCACGCATGTTTTTCCAGTGCATGGAGCACACCGGGATTGGGCCGAGCGACCTTGAAGCGAGGTTTTACAACCGCAGGCAAGTGGGACAGAATTCTGCCCCTATCTACAATTCCCCGAAGTGTAGGTTTCAGCGGGAGTGAACGGTTTTCGGTTTTTTTTTTTTTTTTTTTTTTTTTTCGCCGCCCTTCGGTCCCCACTTTCCGCCCTGCGCCATAACCTGATCACGCAGGCCATCCAGGAGACTTCTCAGACTGGACTGCGAGCTCTCTGCCAAACTTCGCTGGTTTGACGGCATGTGTGGCTTGAATTCCCTGCTCCTGGTGACATGGTGCGCCGCAAACTCTAGGTTACCCCCCAGCAAACCCCCCCCTACTTCACACCCCCAGCCCTCACACACCAGTATGTTCTGTAGCAGACGAGCTTCTCCTCGCGATTCCTCGTTGCATTCCTTTCAACACCGCGCCCGTCTGTCTGTGTCCCACAAGGCACAGCGTACACCTACCGATGTACGACCCAGCCTACACTCACGCGGCAGTGCCTCTTGCGGGTTCCCTTCCCATCTGATTAGCAGCGACTGCTACACCAGTCGGGTTCATGCTTGTCCGTTGTTCAATCATCCACAATCGCAAAAACGGATGCACAAGCTTGTCTGCCTGATCGCGTTTCGAAGTGACGGTAGTGAGCAGCCCAAGCCGGAGACCACAGCAGAGTCGCCTACTATTGCTCGTAGTACCGCCATCTCGAAAGCTCGAAAGCTGGACGTCATCTTAGAAACCACCGCGCGTCTTAGGTTTGAGAGCGAAGTCCTTGTTGCGGAGCGAAGGATTGGACAAATGGCTCTCTTTAAGCCGCGATCCCGTTCCGCTCGGTAGTAACAAAGCGTTACCTCCTCCCAGGCCGGCTCTTCTGCACCCGCCCATTAGCTCATTCGTCAGTTGCCTTCCATCCCCGCTACAGTAAACTCCGCTCGCTTGAGCGCTAGTCAAAGAATCATCCCAACAGACGGTCTCATCCCAACAGACGGTCTCATCTCCTAAAATAATCCGCCTCGTCTCATCCTCCTTTTCTCCTCGACCATCTGGCCTCTCCCCCGTTACCATCACAGCCACCGTTATAGTCACAACCGAGCCCCATGGTGCCTAATATCCTCCTCCTCCCCTTCCTCTCCCTCCTCTTCCTACACTCTCGGCCCTACCACACCGCCTCATGGCGAATACCCCATCCCGCGCCTATCGCTACCATCTCCCTCTTAGCCATCGTCGCCGCTCTCCCCGATACCCCCCACCCGGTCGCTGAGGCCAACAGAGGCGGCGGCGGCTTCCTCGGAGGGCCCAAGCCTGGTAGAAAAACCGGGGGGGGATGGGGCAAGGGGAAGGGGAAGGGCGGGGTGGGGCAAGGAGGGGGTGGAAGCGGTACGGTTGAGTCCGGTTCGGATGGACAGTCTGGAGGGCAGTCGTGGGATGAACTCCCACCCGACGGCCAGTCAGGTGACGGTCAGGTGCCTCCTCAGGAGAATACAGCACCGGCGTCGCTAGGAAGTCCGGCCGGTGAAGACGGAGACCTAACGGCTAACGGTTCCCAGGATGAGCAATCCGGAGGACAAAATCCCGATCTTACTCCTCCCCCTGCTGCGGACGCTAACTCCCCCTCCGCTGCTCCTCCTTCCGCTGCTCCTCCTTTCGCCAGCCCTCCTTCCGTCGTTTCCCCGCCACCGCCAGCCGCCCCGCCGTCGGCCGGCAGCCAGACGGCACCGGACGACGCGTTCCCCGCGAGCGGCGCGTCGTTCTCGTCGTCATCGGACATGTTACAGCCGGGGCCGGATCTCTCGGCAGACGGCGCGGCAACCGCCGCTCCCGCGTCCGAGGCGTCGCCGGGCGGAGGCGGCGACGGATCGCCGTCGCAGCTGGACTCGAAGCAAGGTACGGTACGGTACGGTACGGTGCAGTGCGGTGCGGTGCAGTCCGCGGCGCTACCAATCCCCGCGCGTTGACGACGCCGTGGCCGTGAGTTAGCTCACCCCATCGGTGGCGGTCGTGTGGTAGCAGAAGGGGGACCGGGGTGGCATTAGAAATTTCTCTTGCGTGGTGCTTCGACTCAATAATCTCCTAGTCTCAAGTCTCCTAGCCGCCTCGGAGCAAGGACCTCCATCAGTCAAGTCTCCCCAACAACCCTCCCTCTCCCCTCCCCTCTCCCCTCCCCCTCCTCTCCCCCCCCCACCACACTCTCCCCCCACACCCCCCCCCCCCGACCCCGTCTCCTTGTTCTCTCCCCACACTCCTCATCGGTCACTCCTAACCCGCACCACTGCCCCCCCTCCGCTCCCCTCCCTTCCCCTACCTGCTCTTCCCTCCTTCCCCCTAACCTTTGCCTTCCCGTCCCTTTGCTCTCTTCCCCCGTCTCCCGCGTGTGCATCTTCCGCGTGCCCCTTGTGTGCGCCAGCGGCGGCGCTGGCGGAGCTGCGCGACTTCTGGGGGCTGACGTGGGACCTGTCGCTGCCGTGCTGGGAGATCGGCGGGCTGTCGTGCAACGACGACGGCACCGTGCAGTCGCTGTACGTCCATAGCTTAGTTGTCGCCTGAACGGCGCTTGAACGGCGTTTGAATGGCGTGTGAACGGTCTTCTTAACCCGTTCAAGCGCCGCGCTGTACGCCCATGCCTTCCGTGCCTCCCACTCTCTCTAGGCCTTGTTCATGCTTGCTTGCTGCCTGCCTGCCTGCTCATCTGCTTCTTCTTGTCCCCCGCACATACCCTCACCGTCCCCCCCTCTCTCTCTCTTTCTCTCAAACGGTCCTCGCTCTCCCCCTGCCGCTCTCGTGTGTGCGCGTTACAGGGACCTGACGTCCGCGGGCCTCAACGGCACCATTCCCAAGGCACTGTTCGACCTCACCACGCTGCAATACCTGTGCGTCGCCAGCACCCACCGCCCCATGGCCCCCCATGCCCTCATGCCCCCCCATGCCCTCATGCCCCCCCATGCCCTCATGCCCCCCCATGCCCTCATTGCCCCATACCCCCCCTCGACCCCATGCCCTCATGACCCCATGACCCCATGCCCCCATGACGCCATATCCCCATGGCATCACCTGAACACACGGCCTCCTGCCGCATGTCACCCCTCTGCACACCACTCCTGCCGACCGACACGGCTGCACACCACTCCTGCCGCATTTCACCACACGGCCCCCCTGAACCGCCCCCCCATGCGCCATGCCCCCGTTCCATCTCTCGCGAGTCCTCTGCATCGCCCACGCCACCTCCCCACCTCACCAATACCGCTCTTCCTCCCTCCTCTCTTCGCCTTCCCCTCCCCTTCCCCCTCCGCCACTCCCCGCAGTTCGCTGGCCGACAACAGTCTGACAGGGAAGCTGCCCAAAGCCGTGTCCGCCCTCTCTCGCCTCGAGTCGCTGTAAGCCACCCACTCCTTGCCTCGTTCCTGCTTGGATGCATGCCCGTGCGTTTGACGCACGAGACGCTGTAAGCCCCCCCACTCCGTGCCCCCCATACATTGCTGGTCCTGCTCCTTCTGACTGTACGTGCACATGTGCTTCCGCCCTCACCTCTCCCCCCCGTCTGTCTCTTCCCCCCACCTTCCCCGCCTGCCACCCCCGCCAGTGTGCTGCACAGCAACGGGCTCACGGGCGAGGTGCCCAACGTCTTTGCCGACATGCCCAACCTCATTGACCTGTGAGCCAAACCTCCTACTCCCCTCACCCGCTCTTCTGCTCCTCCTCTCCTCAACCCCTTCCTCCCAGCCTCTTCCTGCTTCTCCCCTTCTCTTCCACTCTCACATACATGCATGCACACCCATATGCACACACACGTTCTCCACCCGTCCTCCTTCGTGTACCTCAACTTCCCCCCTGTCCGCTCTGCCCCTCCCTGCCCTCTCTTCCCCTCCCTGCCGTCCCCTTCCCCTCTCTGCAGGTCACTGGCCCGCAACAGCTTCGACCACGCCCTGCCCTCCTCCCTCGCTCTCTGCTCCAACCTCATCTACCTGTCAGTGCCGCCCCTGCACTCGCCCCACAACATGCACGCCTGCGGACATGCATGCCACTTGCCCGCTCGTTTCACACCGGCATATCTCCATGCCTTCCGCCCCTTCCCCTGCGAAGCGAACCATTGTTCATGTCACCACCCTCCTCGGTGCTCCATGTCACAGGCGTATTTTGAAGAATCTCGAGTTAGTAACTCACACACATCATCCTCCTCTGTGCTCTCCTACTTCCCTTTCCCCCCCCTGCATGTGTGCTTGTTCCTGTCGCTCCTGCGCAGTAACTTGGGCGGCAACTACTTCAGTAAGATCATTCCCGAGAGCTTGGGGAGCCTGATTAACCTGCGCACCCTGTGAGCCTCTTGCTGATTCACCATGCTTCAGCATTACCCTGTGCTGTTCATGTGCATACCCTGGGGGGCATACCACTGGCCTTGAGAAGCGCCGCAGTATTGTCCTACTGGCATTTGGCATGGATTGTGCGCTGGTCTGCATACTGTCTTCGCACATCCTTGCTTCACACATCCTTGCTTCACACATCCTTGATTCAAACATTCTCTCTCCTGTGCTTGCTGTTAAGTTCCGACCCCTGTGCTTGCTGTTAAGTTCCGACCCCTGTGCTTGCTGTCAAGTTCCGACCCCTGTACTTGCTGTTAAGTTCCGACCCCTGTGCTTGCTGTCAAGTTCCGACCCCTGTGCTTGCTGTTAAGTTCCGACCCCTGTGCTTGCTGTCAAGTTCCGACCCCTGTACTTGCTGTTAAGTTCCGACCCCTGTGCTTGCTGTTAAGTTCCGACCCCTGTGTGTTGCGTTGCGTTGTGTCCCCCCCTGCCCCTCGCAGTCTGCTCTACGACAACGCCTTCGTGGGCAGCATCCCCGACACTCTCTCCGAGCTCACTCTCCTCGACAAGCTGTCAGTCCTCTTTCCCACTCCCCTCCCCTTCCCCCCCCTCCCCTCTCTCACTTCCTCCCCTCCGCGATCTCCTGCCCACTGTCTGAAGCTCCTCCCCCCCACCCTCACATCATGCCTTCCTCCCTCCATCCAACCACCCCTTCCACTCCCCCTTCATCCAACCACCCCAATGCTTGGGTATGAATCTTAGGTCGACTTGACACATCCTCTCTCAGCTCGCCCTGCTTTGTTTCATCTACACCTAGTCGTCACTGCACTCCCCTTGCGCTTCCTCCTTCCCTTCCCCCCTCCCCCCCTCCTACCTTGGTTCAGCCCCATAGGCACTGACCCCTGTACCCTCTCCTCCCTCCCCGCCTCGTCCCCCCCTCACTGCAGCGACCTCTCTCTCAACGTGCTCTCAGGGGTGTTCCCCTCCGCGCTGCTATCTCTCCCAGCGCTCAAGTCACTGTACGTCCACCTGCTACTGCACGTACCCTGTCCCGTTCATCCCTTCATGTTCCCCCTTCCGTTCATGTTCCTCGTCCGCCCTCTCACCCACTCTCTCCCAACCCCTCCTTCCCTATTTCCCTCCTTCCCCATTCCCCCTCTCCCCCCCTCCCCCCCCCTCCCCAGTGACATCAGCAACAACCAGCTGTCCGGGCCTCTTCCCTCGGGCTTCGCCAGCGCCTTCATCTCCTCGCCGCTCACCGACGGCACCTTCCTCGCCGCGCAGAACTACTTCACCGGGGACGCCACCGTCACAGTCGCCGGCGCCCCCTTCTGCCCCTCCACTCAGCCACAATCCTCCGACCAAGCTCTCCCCGGCGCTGCAGACTCCCTTTCCTCCTCTCCGGACCAGTCTGGACTGACAGATGGTGGAGCAGCCGGGTACCCTTCCCTTCTGCTCAACTGCCTCACATACTCGGCGTCCTCGGCGTGCGTGCAAGCAGGGGTGGTGGAGCAGCAGCGGACGGCGCTGGCATGCGCCGCGTTCTGTGGGGCGCCTCTGGAGGGGGGGCCGTGCGGGGGGCGGGGGATGTGCGTGCTGAGTGCGGGGTCGGGTGAGCCGACATGTGCGTGTGACAGCGGCTACATGCCAGGGCTGATGAATGCGACGGTGGATGGGGTGCTCGTGACGTACACCACCTGCAGCAAGAACCCCGAGAATGGTGCGCTGCGCTCTCTCTGCTCTGCGCTCTCTCTGCTCTGCGTTGTTGTTGCTCAGCTGATGAGCCCCTGTTGTTGCGATGTCCTTCCTCCTGGCCTGAACACCCTTCCAACCAACCACCCTATCTGTTATTTCACTTCAGCTCAGTACTCCCTCTCTTCAAAATGCTATGCTCGCTCTTGTGGAGTTTGGAAAATTCTGTTGCGTCTTACTTGTTTTCCCTGTCCCTGTGTACGTGCACATGTGTGTGTGTGTGTTCTTGTGTGTGCATGTGCGTGTATGTATTCCCATCCACAGCTCTACCGCCCCCAGACAAACCTTCAAAGGGTAAGCTAACCCCGATGAGCATTGGCATGTGCTTGGACATGGTAGATCGGCAGCTGCAATCCCACCTGCACTTGATTTATTACAAGTCTAAAAATTCCCCCTGTCAGCTCTCCACCTCCTCTACATCTCCAGTCTTCCCCTACTTTTGAATGCCCGAAGCTCCCATTGGCTGATTTGATCTCCATCTTCTCTTTTCCCCCCTCCTCCCCATCCCCCGTCTCTTCTCCGCCCCCATCTTCTCCCCCCCCCTTCCCCATTTCCAGGAGACTTCTCCACGGGCTTCCAGCCAAGCGTCCCCGGGGGCCGCTTCTTCAACCCTTACTTCCGCTATGCCAGCGTGGGCTTTAAGGGCTCGCCCTCCGACCCCTCCTGGACCTACAAAGACTCTGTAGACTGGCGCAACCCCTCCGCGTTTGCTCAGGGCAACAGCAGCAGCGGCAGCGGCAGCGATGGCAGTAGTGTGTCGTACGTGGGATATGTCCGCGACCAGGGGCAATGCGGTGAGGATCTCTGCCTTCAGAACCCGCCCACTTCCACCTCGCCCGCAACATTATTCTCTCCCCCTTCCTCTCTCTCCCATGCCTGCCTCTTGTGCATAGGCACCACTGCTCAACAACCCCCCCTCCCCCCCCCACCCTCCTTTCTCTCCCATGCCTTTTTCCCCACTCTCCACCCTCCCCTCGCTCCCTTCCCCACCTGTTCCTGTGTGTGCCCCGCAGCTGCATGCTGGGCCTTCGCAGCGGTGGACACTGTCGCCAGCGCCTATGCCATTGCCAACCGCCTGCCCTCCATTCCTCCTCTCTCCACACAGCAGGTACTGTCCTGTCCTCCATTCCCCTTCTCTTTCTCCCTCCGCTTCTCCTTCTCTTTCTCCCTCTCCTTCTCCCTCCGCTTCTCCTTCTCTTTTCTCCCAGGATATCCCCGTGCCATCACCACCCCAAGGTTTCTCTTCCACACTGCGCTGTGCGCACTCTCGCCCCAGGAACGCCTCCTTGCTTGCTCCTTCCCTCCCCCGTTCCTCCCCCCTCCTCCCTCCACTCTCTCCCCCTCCTCCCTTCACTCTCCCTCCCTCCTCCCCCTCGGCCCATATATCTTCATGCTTCCCTGCACACACCCTCTCTCCGAATCCACCCTCACGTTTCCCTCTCCCCCCTCCCCCCTCCCCACCACCATTCATCCCACCAGGTGCTAGACTGCGCCAAGGGCGACTGCTCATCCGGCGGTTTCCCGGGGGACGCCTTCCGCCTGCTGGCTGCCCCCCCACTCGTCTCCTCCAACGCGCTCTGCACGGAGGACATGTACCCCTTCGACGGCGAGTCCGACAGCAGCGACCAGTGCCGTGGCGTGAAGGGGCAGTACCGCATCCCGCTGGTGTACGAGCAGATCAGCTTCTACGGGTGGCTGGGGATTGCGCTGGCCGTGCAGCAGCAGCCCGTGGTGGTCAGCGTTGCCGCTGACAGCGATTCGTTCAAGATGTTCGCTGGGGTACGCGTGTGTGGGGGTGGGTGGGGGGGTTGGGTGGGGAGGAGGTGTATGTGTGTGTATATGAATGAATTTACGTGTGTGCTCTGTGCCTTTGGGCCTTTCCTCTCTGCCTTCCACCCTTGCACAGCGTGTACCAGGTCTACGTGTGCAACGACCTGGCGTACTTCGCGCCGGGCATCGTCTCGCACAACCGAGTGGTGGTCAGCTACAACGTGATCGCACCCGAGCCTACTAGCTTCCCCTCCATAGCTGGGGCACCACGTCGGGCGAATTCGAGACGCCTCAGAACCGTACTAAGCTTGCCCCTCCCCTCCCTCCCCCCCCCCCCCTTCCCTCCTCCCCGCCCTTCCAACCCCCCTCCTCCCCCCCGCACCAGGGCTACGTGTACAACGACCCGGCGTGCTTCGCATCCGGCATGGTTTCGCACAACCTGGTGGTGGTGGGTTACAACGTGCTGGCGCCCGAGCCCTACTGGATCCTTCGCAACAGCTGGGGCACCACGTGGGGCGAGGACGGGTACATGCGCATGGCCATCATGGCCCGCCCCGATCCTACAGGGGCGATTGAGGTCAACGGTGGTGCAGGCGTGTGTGGGATCTATGCCATGCCGGCTCTCTACCCGGTGGTTGCCGGTAAGTGATGTGGGACGACATGGGGCGACAACGGGTGCATGCACATGGCTATTATGGCCCGGCCTGATCCCTTTGGGGCGGTGGAGATAACGGTGGTGCAGGCGTGTGTGAGATCCAGGGCTTACGCTAGGCCCTAGGGTGTTTCAGAAGGTGCCTAGTCAGGGTCCAATAATACCCAGAATGTTCCTGAAGGAGAAAATTCTCCACGCAGCGTCACATGGAAGCTCTCCTTACAGAACGCCATGCTGGGAGGCTAGCTCGTCAGGATTCATGAAAAAACTTCACGGAATGCTTCAGGATTTTAAGGCTCACTGACTTGTCAACATTCATAGATTCGGCAAATCCAAACCTGTTAAAATCCGCTTTCGGGGTCTAAAAAACTCTTAATTTCTCAACATTTAGGGTAGCTACCCTTCTAGCGTAAGCCCTGGTGAGATCTGCGCCATGCTGGCGCACCACCCAGTGGTTCCTGGTGCACACTGGAAGGAGGGGATGGGTGGAGGGTGGGCGTGGCACATGGACGAATGATTTATCCTTTCCTGCTGTTGACGTTTCTTCTGCCTTCCTCTTGTTGCGCCTTCTCCTGTTCCTCCTTCGCCCTGCCACCTGGAAGCATGGCGTAGAGTTGGTAATTGGAGGTACATCAGTTGGCATCAGTTTCTCAACCCCACCTCCACCTCCTCCCTCTCCATATGCCCATCCGCTTCCTGGTTCGCCCTTCCCCTGCTCTCTTTCTCCCTCTCCCTCTACCAACCAGGCCCGACGCCATGTCAGCCGAACCCATGTGGCAGCGGGTCGTGCAGTGTGGTGACGGCGCTGGACGGCTCCCAGAGCAACCTGTGCCGCTGCCGCCGCGGCTTTGTCCCCGTTGACAATGTCGATGGCTCCCAGTCCTGCGCTCCCTGTATGCTTGGGGGGTTGAGGGGGGATGGGGGTTGTTATGGAATCGTGTGGAGGGAATCGGATGAGGTTCAGTGAAATGGGATGTGATGCGGTGGGAAGGGATGGTGTGGTGTGTGGTGAGGTGGTGTGTTGGTGGTGATGGACTGGACTGAGGGGAGGGGGGGGCTGATTATGCCTGGCCAACTGCAGCAAAGGGTACAGAGATGTGAGTCTATTAAGCCCTGCATCCGCTCTGCCTCCCTTCCATCCATCTCCCCTCTTGTCCTCAACCTCTTCTCCCCACTTTTCCCCTCACCCTCTTTCTCCCCCTCTCCGCCGCTACGTATCCTCTCCTTACCTCCCCCTCTGGCAGCGCGTGTGTGTGCGCTGTACCAGACGAACCCGTGCTGGGTGGGCACTTGTGTGGACAACAAGAAGGGCAGCTTCTCCTGCATCTGCCCACCCGGCTTCACTCAGGGACTCAAGGCCGACGGCACCACCACCTGCGTGCCAGGTACGCTGCTCCCTATCTCTCTTCCGCCTGTTCCCCCCTCTCCCTTCCCCTCCCCCTCCCCCCTCCTCCTCCTCCTCGGTCAACTGACTCTCCCTCCCTCGTTCCCATTCACACAATGCGCAAATGACACATGTCAGTTTCAGTACTCAGACTCCAATCCCCTTGCCACGTCTTCCCCTCTCCCCTCCCCTCCCCATTCTTTCTCTCTTTCCTCGTGCTGCAGTGACATCCCAGGAGGACATGGGCATGTACCTTGCGTCAGCTTCAATGCTCAAGCTTCAACTCACGCGGTGTCTTTCCCGTTCTCACCCCCCCATCTTGTGCACTTCCGCCCCTCCCTGCCCTGCAGTGATATCCCAGGAGGACAAGGGCACGTACCTCATCACAGGTCCCGGCGTCACCTGCTACACGCTCGCCATCAGCTATGGCTTCACGCCGGCTGAGCTCGTGGAGAAGAACCCGGTACGCTGCTGCTGCTGCTGCTTCTGCTGCTGCTGCTGGTAGTCCTGCTGCTGCTGCTGCTGCTGCTTCTAAACCGTCTGTCATTGCTTTGACCACCCATCCCCTTCTCCCTCCCTGACGGCTTTCATATCCATCTCCTCCCTCCTTCCCCTTGGCTGTGCGCCTCAGGACCTTGACTGCTCTGTGGACATTCCTCCCAGCACACTGCTGGACATCTCCGACTCCTCCCTCGCTCCCTGCTCGCTGCCCTACACTGTCAACCCGGTATGCCATGGCCATCGTCGGCACACCATGCCATTGTCAGCACGCTCCGCCATGCTCCACACACATGCACACACACGCACACACTGTCTCACACTCCTGCTGCCTGCCCTTCTCCAATCATGCCCAATATCCCCTCTCTTTCCCCCGGTTCTCGTATCACGCCTTGTGTGGGCCCGCAACACAGGTTGACACGTGTGACTCCATAGCCGGGCTCTTCAACATCTCGAGCGAAGATCTCGCCACGCTCAATCCCGCCCTCAAGTGCTCGCGGCTCATAGTCGGCGTGCAGGTAAGGCCAGCAGAGCCACACCTTTGTTTGTACACACCAAGAAAAGCCACACAGCAGGAGATATCTCTCAGGATAACTTTGAGTCGACTGAAAAATCACCCAAGGGCAGCAGAGCCACAACCTAGTGCACACCGAGAAAAGCAGCACAGCAGGAGGGGCTTCATGCTCCTTTTTTTAACTACTCCATCCTGTCCTGTCTCGAGTTTTTATGTCTCCAAGGCTTATTCCTGCCAGTCCTGTCTCTTTGCATCCGCTGATTCCATATTCTCCTTTCTTTCCTTTTTCTCTGTGCGTCAGATCTGTGTGGCTCGAGGGGATCCGTACCAATTCCCTCTCTGCACGCGCTACCACGACGTAGCAGACGGGGAGACGTGCACCTCCCTCATGCAAGTGCAAGCCCGCCCGCCTCTCTCTCCCGTTGAGTTCTTTGCTATGAACCCCGGACTCATGTGCAACAACCTCGTTCCAACCAAGCCGGGAGACGGGCTAGGCGGCCAGCAAGTGTGCCTCGCCTCTCTCCCATTCTCCGCCTTCAAATGCGCGTTCCGCCCGTACTACACCAAGCGGGGCGACACGTGTGCGGCAATCTACATGAAGTATTTCCGCACGCCTGCTGCAAAGGCCAAGACGACCCCAGCTCGGCTGTACGTGCAGCTGAACAGCAACACGGTGTGCCCCACCAGCCTAAGAGTGGGCTACCAAGTGTGCCTTCCCAACGGAGTGAGGCCGTAGAATGATGCAGCAGCAGGCGCTAGCTGTGCGCGATGGGGTGTCATGGGATTGGGAAGTTGGGGCGACGAATGTAGGTTTCTGCGGCCAAAGTAACAGCAGCCTGGGCAGGTCGTGCTGGTGGGCCAGCAAGCAAGGCACGCGATCGGTGAGCTAGCAGCAGTGGTGATGTTGGCAGCAGTGGTGGTGGTGGTACCAGTGGTGGTGGCGCAGCAGTGGTGGTGTTGGCAGCAGTGGTGGTGGTGGCAGCAGCCGTGGTGGTGACATGAGCAGTCTCCCTGCCTGCAGCAGTGGTAGTGGAGTTGGCAGCAGCAGTGTTGCAGTGCCTACTGCTACAGCAGCTGCATGTAATGTAAGGAAGCAGCTGTTGAGGATAGCACCGTGCTTTGAGCTCCGAGAATGGCAATCTGTGAGCGATATGTCATCTGACATGTCATGTGATGTGACATGTCCAAGCAAATTCGATCATGTGCATGCCTGGTTCTTTGCTCGTTTGGCCTCCAATGCTGTGGCACATCAGCATGCCATGCCATGCCAGTGCCATCTGCTTGTACTGTATCATATTGGCTCATAGCTGCCCCCGCGGCATCCTTGCCACAGGGTGGTACTGGTACGTAACATTTTTTAGAGCTTGTATTATATGGTTTGTGTGCTTTATTTTTGTGGGTGCCCTTAGGGCTTATAACACCTGACTGTTGAGTGACCCGCTGGGGTTGCCCTTGAGATCCTCGGGGAAGGGCCACAGGTGCAGAGCCTGGGGGGCTATGGGCGCACTTACCCGCTATTCAACAAGCCCTTTTAACCCAGTGGTTAGTGGCTGGGTTTCTGACATGGTATCAGAGCCAAAGGTCTTGGGTTCGACTCCCAGTGCCAGCGCTGCAGAGGCGCTCGTGTCTTCCACCTATCCCAGCGGGGGGGGGGGTGTTGAGTGACCCGCTGGGGTTGCCCTTGAGATCCTCGGGGAAGGGCCACAGGTGCAGAGCCTGGGGGGCTATGGGCGCACTTACCCGCTATTCAACAAGCCCTTTTAACCCAGTGGTTAGTGGCTGGGTTTCTGACACTGACCAGCATGAATGCCTTACTGTTGGCTTCTAAACTAAATGCACAACCAACCTGCAGCCTCTTAAAACCACAGGCTAAAATAGCAAAGGGGGGGCTTCAAGTGTCAACTTATACATATTATCTATGTAGAAGTTATAGGCTAGACTGAGGTATGCTTCTAGTGAGTACAACCAACTAGTATTTGTTCTAGGTTTCCACCTCTAGTAATCATTCGTTTCTACGTTAACATGGTATCACGCTTAGGTTAGGATCCCCCCGCCTACCGCTTCCGCCCGTCGCGCCTCCTAGGCCCCGTCGCGCCCCCTAGGCCCCGTCGCGCCCCCCCTGGGCCCCAACGCGCTCGTTAGGCCCCGTCGCGCCCCCCCTGGGCCCCGTCGTGCCCGCTGGGCCCCGTCGCGCCTCCTAGGCCCCGTCGCGCTCCCCCTGGGCCCCGTCGCGCCCACTGGGTCCCGTCGCGACCCCTAGGCCCTAACGCGCCCCCGCTGGGCCCCGTTGCGCCTCCTAGGCCCCGTCGCGCCCCCCATGGGCCCCGTCGAGCCCGCTGAGCCCCGTCGTGCCTCCTAGGCATCGTCGCGCCTCCTAAGCCCCGTCGCGTCCCCCCCCTCTGGGCCCCGTCGCGCCCGTTCGGCCCCGTCGCGCCCCTCCTAGGCCCCGTCGCGCCCGCTGGGCCCCTTCGCGCTTCCTAGGCCCCGTCGCGCCTGCTAGGCCCCGTCGCGCCCCCCTGGGCCCCGTCGCGCCCGTTAGGCCCCGTCGCGGCCCCCCTGGGCCCCGTCGTGCCCGCTGGTCCCCGTCGCGCCTCCTCGGCCCCGTCGCGCCCCCCCTGGGCCCCGTCGTGCCCGCTGGGCCCCGTCGCGCCCCTTAGGCCCCGTCGCGCCCGCTGGCCCCTGTCGCGCCTGCTGTTAGCGCTCGCCCGCCTGGCCTCCTCCTAGTGCCGCTCGGCCTCCTCCTAGTGCCGCCCGGCCTCCTCCTAGTGCCGCCCGGCCTCCTCCTAGTGCCGCCCGGCCCCTTCCTAGCGCCGCCCGGCCTCTCCTCAGCGCTGCCCGGCCCCTCCTCGTGCCCGACCGGCCCCAGCAGCACCAGCCTGGCCCCTCCCAGCACCAGCCCGGCCCTAGAGCACCTGCCCGCCTCCCCTGCTCGGCCTGCCGTGTCCTCTCGGGCCCTGTGTCTTCTGCTTGCCTGCGCTGGGACGCCTAGCTGCTGCCCTACTGGAGAGTGCTGCCGCCGTGTCCCCGCGCCGCTGTGCTCCTGTGCCGCTGAGGAGCTGTGCTGCTGTGCCGCTGTGTCGCTGAGGAGCTGTGCCGCTGACCCTGCACGATGGCTGACTTTGTGCTCCGCCTGGACGCTGAGGGCCACGCGGTTGACTTCGCCGCCTGGCTCTCCGATCTTCGCCGCCAGCTTACAGGTCAGCGCCAGGATGGCCACTCTCTGGTTGTCCATGCTGATGGCTTGCTCCCCCGTCCCCCTGCACCTACTCCCCTCCCTGCTGACCCCTCCTCTGATGACCGTGAGGCTTTCTCTACTGCTGCGCTAGCCTGTGCGGTCTGGGACTCACGCGATGCAGTAGCTCAGGTTGCTATTAGTCACGCCCTCCCTGTGTCTGAGCGCTCGCGTTTTGCTACTGTTGAAACGGCCAAAGCTTATTTAGACGCCGTTATTGCTCGCTATTCCACCCCTGCCTCCGCTTCTGCTGGCCGCTTGCTCTTTCCGATGCTGTTCCCAGACCTGGCTGCCTTCCCTACTGTCGCAGATTTTGCCACTCATTTGCGTGCCCTAGAGACTCGCTATCGCACTGCCAGCACTGCTGCCCAGCTCACTGCGCTCCCCCCTCCTTTCTGCATGACGCTCTATTTTATCGCTATGCGCCTGCCAGACCGCCTCGCTAGTGCTCGCGACCACTTTCTTAGCCAGCACCCGGGTGACCTCACCCTGACCGCCTTTGTCGACACCCTCACTGAGATCGAGACTCGCCAGCGCACTATCGCTCAGTCGAGCGGTGCGCCGGCAGTCTCTATCTTTCACGGTTGTGCCCCATCCCCGTGCACGTTCACTGACGTTTCGGCTGCGGTCGCCACGGCGACCCCTCTTACCGAGACGGCTGCTGCTGTCCACCCGCAGCAGCGCTCGCGTCGCGGTGGCCGTGGCCGCCAGGGAGGTAGGGGTGGTGACGCAGGTGGTAGTGGTCGTGGTGGTGGTGACGGTAGTCCGCCTGAGGGGACTACCACCGGTGGGCAGGAGCAGCAGTCCCAGCAGCAGCAGGACCAGCCCCAGCCGCAGCCGCCGTCCCAGCAGCACCCGCCGCAGCCGTGGGCTCGTCTCCCGCCTGGTTGGCCCGGCACCTCCGGAGGCGGTGGCCGTGGTGGCGGCCCGCGCAGCTTGGCGTCTACCAGCGGCTCCAGTGCTGTGACCTGCCAGTACCAGCTTCAGACCGGGCCTCTCCGCGGCACTCTGTGCCGCCGCCCGCACCCAACCGCCCACTGTTTCCGCCGCCTCGACGATCTTTTTCGTCGTCGCTTTGGCCCGGCCCCGGACCTCCCTGACTGGCACAGCCTGCTCCGCCAGGGCGTGCCGATCTTTGAGTTAGACATGGATCAGATAGGTGCTGCTTTGCATGCTTTGTATGCTGACGCTTCTAGTGTTGATGGATCTTACTACCATGTGTACTCTAGTTTAGGTGTTTCACCCTTGTGTAGCTTAGCTTCCCCTGCTGCGACAGGCGTAGGACTGCCTAGGTTGCCTAGTCTAGTCGCTGCACCGGCTCCGTCCGCGGCCTCCGCCACTGCGTCGCTGTCCTTCACTCTCGACTCTGGTGCTTCTGCCTGCTTCTTCCGCGACCGTTCCACGCTCACGCCGCTTGCTGCACCTGCTGTTGTCTCTCTCGCTGACCCCTCTGCGGGTCCGGTCGTCGCGCGCAGTTCTACGTCCCTTCCCTGTCCGGCAGTTCCCTCGGGCTCCCTTACTGGCCTCCACGTTCCCTCGTTCTCCAGGAACCTGGTTGGTGTCGGCTGTCTCCAGGACCTCGGCGTCACCACCACGTTCCCCGGGCACGAGCGGTTCGCTGTCTGTTCTGAGGCTGTCTCAGGTTCCCCCCTTGCGACGTTCCCCCGGGACCCGGTGTCCGGTCTGTTTACCCTACACACCGCTTCCCCCCCGGTTGGTGCGTCCTCCCAGGTCGCTGCAGCTTGCTCGTGTCGGTCCCTCACTCACCCCTCCCTTCTCTGGCACCACCGCTTAGGTCACCCTGCTCTCCCGCGTCTGCGTCACATGTCCCAGCACGGTCTTGTCTTAGGTCTCCCCGCGTCGCTCCCTGCCCTTCCTCCCTCGACTGCGCCACCGTGCACGCCTTGCGTCGAGGGTCGGCTCCGCCGTGCTCCTCACTCCTCCTCGCTGCGTCCTGCTACTGCCCCCCTTCAGACCCTGCACTTGGACGTTTGGGGCCCTGCCCCCGTCCCCGGACCGCGCGGTGAGCGCTACTTCCTTGTGCTCGTTGACGACTACACGCGCTACACCACGGTGTTTCCCCTGGAGCGGAAGGCCGACGTGCCCGACGTTCTTCTCCCGTGGGTTGTAGCTGCGCGTCTCCACCGCGGTCTCCCCGTGTTGTGTCTCCACTCCGACCGTGGCGGCGAGTTCGCCTCTGGTCGGCTTGGACAGTTCTGTCGCGCGGAGGGCATCACCCAGTCGTACACGTTGCCGGACTCGCCACAGCAGAATGGGGTTGCTGAGCGCCGCATCGGTTTGGTCATGGAGGTCGCCCGTACCTCCATGATCCATGCCGATGCCCCCCATTTTCTGTGGCCGTTCGCTGTTCGCTACGCGGCTCACCAGCTTAACCTGTGGCCACGCTCCCAGCGGCCGCAGGTTTCGCCGACCCTCCTTTGGACCGGGTCCCCCGGTGACGCGTCTGCGTTCCACGTCTGGGGCTGCCTTGCTCACGTTCGTGCCTCTGGCACGGACAAGCTCACTGCCCGCACTGTCCCCTGTGTCTTCCTCGGTTTCCCCCTGGACTCGTCTGACTGGCTTTTCTACCACCCGCCGTCTCACCGCTTCCTCCACTCTCGTGACGTCACCTTTGACGAGTCCGTCTCCTTCTACCGCCGCTTCCCTCCCCGTTGTCTCCCAGTTGCCCCCCCCTTTTCCTTGCTCCCTCTCCCCCGGTAGCCCCTGCCCCTCTCCCGCCTCGTCCTGCCCCGTCTGGTGTCTCCCACGTCACTCCCCTCCCGTCGGTTGTCCCCGTTGAGGAGTCTGCTGACTCTGGTGGTACCCCCGGTCCGTCCTTGCCGCGTCCCCCTTCCCCAGTGCCTCCGCCCCCACTGTCGCAGTCGCCGACCCCGCTGCCGCCGCCGTCGCCGTCGCCGCCGCAGCCGTCGCCGCTGTCGCCGCCACTGCCGCCGCTGCTCTCGGCCCCTGGGGGTGCTGGTGTGGAGGAGGGTGTTCGTCCTGCGGCTTCTGGGGGTGCCGCTGGTGTTGGAGGGGGTTCTCGCTCTTGGGGTGTTGGTTCTGGGGGTGCTGCTGTTGAGTGTTCTGCCGACGGTCGTTCTGCCTCTGCTGGTCCGAGAGTTCCGGCCCAGCCGTCGTCGCCGCCACAGCAGCCGTCGCCGCCGGTTTCCGCTCTCCGCCTGCTCGGCCTTCCCTCCCCGGACCGCGCGCCGGTGTCTCCCCCACCGCCTCCTGACCTCCCTGTCTACGGTCCTGTGTTCCCGCCGCCAGACTCGTCTCCGGCCCGTCTTCCTCCTCGTTCCCCTCCTGTGTCTCCTCCGCTGTCCCCTGACCCTACCCCTCCGTCTCACGTTTGGGCTCGCCGTCCCTCCCGTGCTCGTCCCGTCTCTCCTGTCCTGCCCACCCACCC